CTGCGGGGGGATGTTGAGTAACGTGATTGTATTAGGAAACATAGGTTAGACTAGGAAATATTCTGGCTTGCCTTGTACTCCAAGTAGATCATGTACTCCTATATATATGCCCATGAGGCTCAAACAATACAACAACTATTCCACCAATCCTCCTCTCTCCCTTCTAACATGTTTGTTTTGCTAATTAAATTGACAAGCAAAGTTTCCGTGCTAGACCTATATTCTCATATAGAGGGAGTAGGTCGACTCAAACTGAGCTTGCTCGCCTTCTTACTATGAGAGATTAGTCTAGTTTGCGTAAACGTGACACCTCTGCTACCCTATCTACGTCCAAAGACTTGACCGTGCGATACACGTTTGTGCGACGTGTATGTTTGCAATTATTCACTTCATTATGTTATGTACGAGCGCTATTATTTAAAATTTTACATGCAAAGAGACATATAGAAGTAGATGACCATGAAAAATTTACATGCCATGACAAATAGATTATGGATCAGAAAGTCTCAATCTTTTATATAGCTCGGAAGTGGCTCAAGATTAGTCAAAATCATTGCATGCTTAGGATAAGCCAACTGCGCAACTCGATCTTTAGGTCCTACGGTATACCCACCTAGCCATGCGCTAGGCAACAAGAGCCGTAGCAACGTGTTCCTTCATTGAAGGTGACTACAATAGCACTGATTGGCACAATAGCTATGAGTTTGTAGCGGTGGATCTTAGTTGGGATACTACGGGTGCGATGACACCCCCTCTAAAGTGCTATCTAATTCTTAATACTTGACACTAATCGCACAAGTATTTAATGCTATTGAGGAGTAGTATTTGCTAGGATTAAGATGATATTTATATCAAATTGCACTATTTGGCGCCTCAGTGCTACGATTCTAGGTCTGCCACCACGAGGTTTCACCGGAGCGTGTCTCCAACTTGATTGTCGGGTCCATTCCTCCCCTTCATAATAGTGTCAAAAGCACTCTTATATTATGGAATGAAGGAAGTACATCTAAGTATTTGTGACACCCTTATTTCACACAGGATGAGATATACGGCGAGTTGTATATATGACCACCGTGTCATTTTATTTCCGCTAGTAGGTCTGCTGCCTCCGTCTACGTCTAAGTCAAGTTGTGCTCACTGTCCTGTTTATCTCACTTGAACCTGACTCGTTTGGATGCGGGCCAAGCCTCTAGAAGACGTAGATATATTTATAAAAAAAGACCAGAAGACTTGACCGCGTGTATGCAATCATGCATGCACAGAGCCTATCGGCTTCAAGGTCGGAGGTACTATAGCCACTACGGACCAGCTAGCTAGGGTTTGACGTGTTCGAAGCCCTCATCCGAACGGCACCACCATCCCGTGGCCTCGCCGGGTACGGCACGCTGTATATGCAGACACGATCACGTCATTCTGTAACGCCCGACCGCGTGCGCGTGCGTGAGCATCACTCTGTGCCCGATATATATTGCAAATAAGGATGAGGGCTTTTGCTGGGTTCGTTGCCGCACGTCTGCACCAGGAAGTTAAGGATAAGATCATGATCCCTGCAATGAGAAAGGGATAGGATCATGATCGCGCCTTCGGTATGGCACGTCCTGGTTGTTCATGCATGCGTGATCCATCATCCCTGTTCAAAGTTGTTGCCAACTTGAGGTCTTGAGGTGGATGAACACAAGTGTCCTTCCATGCCATGGGCAATAGCTAATTCTAATATATATATTTTCAGTCGGCAATAGCTAATCAGTCTTGCTAAATCTCAGTCGACTAGGACTTGGTTTTGTCTCAGTCGTTGCTACATTCGTGAGATCTTACATTGACATCCATGCAAAATTTTCTTTTCAGTTTCTTCTCTTTTATTTCTTATATGTTATGATACTAGACAAAGACTCGGTTAATTCGTCTGAGACCTAACTGCACCCGTAGCTAATCCTATTTTTATTTTGAGTTGGCAATAGCTAATTTGAGACCTAACGCTTGATTGAAATGTCACACACATTTAAATCCCACAAGAATTTTGGTGTTTTGATTGCTTCATGGGAAAAACCAAATCATTATTTTAAGAGGTGTGGGTGGATTCATATTTTTCCTTAATGAAATGTAGTGCAAAGGGATCTTTGGGGAAAAAAATATGTAGGATTCGGTCATACGAATCAAACAACCGACGTAGCAAAAATTAACAAGGATTCCAATCCTTAAATCTACCACAAAAATTCTTTGAACAAAAAAAAACCCTGAAGAGCGTCGTCTTACCCTCAAGTTTTCAAAAATTAACCCATGTTTTTTCATGGAAAGGTATGACTAGTTGTGACCCGAACAGAAAGGCAAATATTCGCAAACTTCGAATTTATAGAAATGGAAATATGCTTATTTTATCCTAAAATAGTTAATAAATTTTCAGATGGAAAAAAATCCAGTCTGAAATTTTGATACCGATATTCCGGTACTGCTCAAAATCGCCAAACTTTTGAAACGGCTGCCAACTAGCATTAAGCATCATGAATATCTTGCAAAATCATGCTATTATATATAGGAAGTGTGGATCATGCATGGCATCACAAAACACAGAAATAGCCAATGTTTGAATCGACTGCCATCTAGTTTATGAAGTCTTAGCACATGTATCACGAGTCTTCGTACAGCATGTGTCACGAGTCTTCGTACAGCATGTATCACGAGTATTATATATAACTATATATAGGAAGGTTGAATCATGCATGACAACAGCACAAGATTATGCCAGAATGGCGTCAACCATACGAATATGAGAACACATACAAATAACCTCATCAACTTGTTCGTCCCACACCTAACTTATATAAACACAAATGCGTAAATTTCCTTGCAATTTACACATGAGAATCAAAGGGAAAACTGACTTATAAATAATACTCCTTCGTCTTATAATATAAGACGTTTTTTGACACTATAGTGTTAAAAAACGTCCTACATTACGGGACGGAGGAAGTATATCGTAGTACGTGCTTAATTAACAGAGATTCTGAACTGACACCGTTGAAGACAGTGAAAAAGGGCATAAAATAGCACGAGAGGCACATTAATGAGGTAAACGCGTACGGCCACGTTTCCCCTACAGTGCCAGCATGTGGTCTACCAGCTTACCGATGGCGAGGCCCGACGAGCCGGCCTCGCCGGTGCACTCCTTCGCCGCCTTCTTCAGCTCGCCGGCCCTGGCCCGCATCTGGGCGCCTTCGCTCCCCGTGACGAGCCGACGGATGGCGGCCTCCACGCCGCCCCTCTCGAGCGCGCCGGCGACCTCGAAGCCCACCCTCCACACGTGCTCCACGTACCTGGCGTTCCCCATCTGGTCGCCGAAGTGCGGGCGGCAAAGCATCGGCACCCCCTCGCACACGCTCTCCGTCGTCGAGTTCCAGCCCCCGTGCGTCCAGAACCCGGCCACGGCCGCGTGCCGGAGCACCTCCTCCTGCGGCGCCCACTCCACCACCATCCCGCGCCCGCGCGTCGCCTCCTCGAACCCGTCCGGAAGCCGCGTCAGCCCGTCCGCGGCGACCAGGCCTGGCCGGACCACCCAGAGGAAGGGCACGCCGCTGCCGGCGATGCCCCACGCCGTCTCCACCAGGTCCCGCGCTGACATGCACGCGAGGCTACCGAAGCTCACGTACAGCACCGACGCCGCCGGCCGCGCGTCCAGCCACTTCAGGCAGCTCCGGTCCTACCGCAGCAGGCTACTCTCGGCTGCGGCGGCGGGGGAGAACAGGTGGAGCGGGCCGATGTCGAACACCGGCATGGCGAGGTCACGCCGGAGCTTCACCAGCTCCCGCCGCTCCAGCGCGTCGAAAGTGTTGAGAATTAACCCGGAGGACGCTTTCACGGCCCCCACCACGCGCTCCAGCAGCTTGCACGTCAGGTCGTGGCGCCTGCCGAGCTGCATCAGGTCGCGCACCCGGTACGGCGGCAGCTCGCTCACCTCCGTCTCCAGCTCCGACTCTGCAAGCAAACAAGGGTCAGTCCATCGATCCAAGAGATAAACATGGGAATTATGCTACGTGCCTTGCACAGGGAGGTAGCCTCTCTTGATGAGGAGAGGGTAGGCGACGAAGCACGAGAGGCAGGCGGCGCTGCCAGTGCGGAGGACGAGGGTGCGCACGGAGAGCTTCGTGGCCACCTTCACCATGGACAGCAGGTGAGTGTCGACGACGATGCACGCCACGTCGTCCCTGGAGTACTCTTCCATGACGGCGGCCAGGCGGTCACGGAAGGGCGCCTCGCACGCGGTGTTGAGCGCGAGGATGTGGGAGACGACGTCCTCGATAGCGACGGGTGCTGGGCCGGACATGCCGTCGGGGACGGGGACGAAGCGGTACTCCGGGTGGCGCGATGGGTCTGGGGCGTTGAAGTGGGTGTGGAAGACGGTGACGGCGAAGCCGCGGCCGTGGAGGATGCCGGCCAGCCGGAACATCGGGTTGATATGGCCCTGGTACGCCAGCGGGAACAGCAGCACGTGGCGACGGCGACCGGCGACCGCGTTGCCCCCCAACGCCATGGTTGGCGCCGGCCACTACGGTGATGATATCACGGGAGCATGGTTCTTGCTGGGTGCACGACTCAGCATTAGCAAGCTCAGGTGGCAATGGTAGTGTGGTACTTGCTCTTATATATCAAGGGTTTTGCTATTTTACATGTACCTGGAATTTTTTTTGTTGCGTTAGGGCATCTCCAACGCGCACCCGTAAATTTCTTTCCGCATCTGTCCGTGGACACGGATATAGGAGGCCGCCATCCAACCGTAGCCACATACATTTTAAACTCTTTTTCAACAAATCGGATGAAATTCATGCAAACACGACCGAATTTCATATAAACATGACAAATTTCATAGAAACACGGCGGATTTTCATTACATTTAAAACAAAAAAAATGACCCGACCCTAAACCTATCCTACGGTGGCGGCGGCCGGCGTCCAAGCCCATGTCATCCTCCATCTGCCTTCTCCATGAGCACCGGCGATAAGACCCATGAAGTGAAGGTGCGGTCTCCGGCGAGGAAGAGTAGAACATGGATATGGACCGGTCCACATGGGACATAAGGCCATGCCGCCTCCCGTGGCCTACTCATCCCAGGAGGAGTCTGCGACCTTTCCGTCGCCGGTGAACGTGAGATCCACGATGGAAATGGTGGCGCCGGCGTTGTCGTCATCCCATCGGGCCGCCTGATAGTTCATCAGCGGCGCGTAGGAGGCGCAGCTGGCATTGTTCTCTTCCGCGATCGCTTGTAGCTGTGCCTCCACGGCTGCCGCTTCCTGACGAGCGGCGGCTTGAGCGCGGACGGCACTGTAGACACCGGAGACGCGTCACAGGTGGCTTCCTCGACCGAGGCGCAACTTCAAAGTGAGAGGTCGCATCCGCCCTGAGCCATCTTCAATGTGGAGTGGCGCCCTCTACAGTGGCATGAATGTGGGCAGCTGCGTCGGGCAGGAACGCTCGCGGGCGAGGGAGGGGTTTGGGTGGCTCAGGGTGGTCAGAAGCAGGCGTGGGAGTGGTCTGCACTCCCGCAAAGCCCCCCTCCCCATGTTTGTCTTCGGTTTGTGAGAGAAAGTACGTCCGGACCGTGCCGCAGACTGAGACAGGACGACGTTGGATGGCTTCCAGGGTCCGGACAGTGCGGTCCAGACGGATGCTGGAGGTTTGGGGTTCGGTGTTGGAGATGCCCTTAGGCACCTTCTTCCTTCAGGCATGCCGGACCTCGTTGGAGAAGAAGAAACCTCTCCGGACAATAACCAACCCCACTATCTATCTCAGGGGAAAGCCATAGCCTCATTATCTATCTTAGAGGGAAGGCACAACCTCGTTATCTATCCTACGGGCGGGTGGGATGTGCAGAGGACCGCCGGAATCGTTCACTCGTGCCGCAGGGCTTAGAGGGATGACAAGGACGGACAACACGGCGATGGGGGAGGTCGAGGGGAGGGGGGGGGGGCGGAGGCGCGCGGTTAGGCCTGAGTTGGCCGGCGGCTGTGTAAGGAGGAAGAAGGAATGTAGGAAGAAGATGAACAATGTGCGGTCTATTTTGGGTTGTTGGATGAAGACCGGACGGTCCCTGATGCAACACTTTTTTTCATATATGTGATGAATAGGCACTCCCTATGTTCAATGGTTAGTTGAAAAAAATCTATCAATATGTGTGGGTTGTTGGATTTTAATCCAACTATTGCCCCACCTTCTTCAACCTTCCAGCCCCCCATGATTGTCGTTCATCTTCTTCCAGATGTCCATGCCAAAAGCACCAGCTTAACCGCCCATTTACCTACGCCCCTATGCTGCCGCCCAATGTTGTGCTGCCGTCGGCCAAGGCCATCCCTCGAAACCACCTTGACCTCATGTTTCTAGCAACGGCAACCCCCCTTGCCTACGCACCCGATAAATAGCCAAAGCGCTTTTATATATCTGCATCAACCTCAAATATGCTCTCTCTCTCTCTCTCTCTCTCAGGACAAAGGCAATATATCAAACCCTATCCTTGCAAACATACCCTTAAATACTTGCATCGAAATCCTTGGGGGTCTCGAAACTTCATTCCACATGCATTCACTAACATTGTGCCGTGAGAAGAGCTCGGTGCCACCTTTAGAATTCTAGATCAACATCAGAGCCAACAAACATTGTCGTAGTGGCTGATAAGTCGCCAATGGAAACCAGGAGACGTCGATGGGCCCGATCTATGAAGCAAATCGCTGCCCCAGAGAAGAAAACATTAAGAGGGCCTTGAGAAAGCCCCAGACCAAATCAGGAAGAATCGGGGAGCACAAAAATCACACGCTACATGAGAAAGCTAAGAATGGCAGCCTTCGTTGGGCGAATGTGGATCTAGAGGACCAAAAACACACAAACCATGCCGTCCGTTCCGAAATACAGCACTGCCGAGATAGATCTACACAGAAAAAATGATATAGAGTACAGGATATAGGGACACACTACCCTCCACACGCCTCCGGGCGACAAGTTGGAAGCATCGCATGGATAATGGCGAGACGTGTGGGGAGGAAGGGAGGGGATCGTGCTTCTAAAATTTCCCAAGCACTAATATGAAGAGATAACATAGAATGAAAACTTCTACAATTCTATATTTTACAAATTGAAAATTAAGCGTACGACTTACATAGCAACACATGACAGACGAGATGCAAGTAGTGAAGGACGATGTTCTAAATAGAGAAAGATAGAGATAAATACTTCAAATAGGCAGCTCAGTTGGGATGAAATGGTAAATCAAGTTAGGGATGTCTTCTTTATTGATGAAATGATAGGGAGAGAAAGCACATTAGTTACTGTTTCAGCCATTTGTCATTCTAAACGTGTGAGGAAATAGGTTGAGATAGGTTACAACATGTTCTCACCCTCTTCCTTATCAGGCATGTACAGTTACCTTCTTTTAGACTTCGTCTTTTGCTCGGCGTAGATATCGAACTCAGTCCTCTTTCTGATATGTTCACTTCTCGAAACATGCAGGATGCAGAGCTAAATCCCCCTCCCTCCTGCATATTCCAAGTAGGTCGTTCTTTTTTGAAAAGGGGATTACCCTTGCCTTTGCATCACATGATGCACACAACCATATTCCAAGTAGGTTGTGGAATCGCCCTTTGCTCTTCCTTCGGTCTAGCTCCACAAAAGCACCACCTAGCCTAGGGGCCCTACTCATATTCAAAAGGGACCTATTTTCCAAGTCGGCAGCAATTATAGGTTGTGTCTTCTTCAGTGTCATGGATAAGGAGTGAGAGTGCCTTGATGATGGCAAGTTTGGCAGTTATAAGGTAGTGGTGGCTACAACACACTGGCGTCCAACAGGGAAGAGTGCCCTGATTGCTTTATAGCATGGTTAATAATACAACGAACAATCGGCTATAAGAAGTTGCCATGTCATCTATAGCCAACATTGTAGTCGGCATATACAATAGTAAGTTTTATATATGTACTACTTTATTAGCACTTGGCCCACCTTACAACCTCACAAAGCGTCTTGGGGCTCATGCTAGAGCCGGCAACTAACTAAGAGCCCACTTCTCTTCTCTCTTCGCCAACTAAGTAAAGATATAATATTTTAGTTCTTATAGCATGTTTATGTTAGTACCTTATTGTACTTGCTCTTAGATTAGTGTCTTCTATTGAGGGATGAGTGGAGCGATAGGAGATGTCGGCAACAAGGAGGGAGAAGGTTTTTTTTTCCGCAAAAGAGGGTTTCCTTATAGAAACCAAGCAGAAGAACATGAGATGGTAGGGGGCAGCAATCGAAGGAGGCGAATACGGGAAGAAGAAGCTGGTGAGGCCGACAAGATTCTGGGCGGTAGATGAAAGAGATGTGGCAAAGAAGTAGTAATGCGGAAACGGGAGGACCGCGTTGTAACCAGAAGGACATAATGGCCATTTCCCTAGATGCACACAAACGTGCATTATGTGCCTTAATGTAAAAGACATTTCCACCTCAGAATGAATTGTCATTCGTACTTGCTTAAAAGCTAAGATTTGGACATTAAGTAATGTCGTTGGAGCCGATGTGAACACGAAAGACCAGAGTTGTACTACTAATTTAGGTCCCGAGTCGACCATGACGTTAATTCTGTGGCATATCATGTCACTAGAAGTACGTCGACACGTTCGTGAACAAACGTTCGATCAGACATTTCTAACTTACAACCACTGTAGGCACATTCCAGATATGTTCAGATCGATAAAATACATCCTTTATAAAAAAAATGTTCAGATCAATAAAGTGAGAAAAAAAATGTTATCATCGAAATTGTCATGGAAACCCCCGGAAAGAGAAAATGTCATGGAAAACAATTGTACACCGAATAGAACTGCTACAGACCATGGCAACGTCTAAAACGTGATCTTCTAGCAGTCCGCCATCGACAAAGAGAGTACCATTAGCGCATCTCCAATGCTGACTTTAAACCGTCCGTATCCGTCCGGACCAAGGTGTCCAGATCTATTTTATCATCAAACATGATTTCCTATCAGTCCGCAGAGGAGGCCGGATGTCATTTTTTTTC